ATATATATATATATATATATATTAAAAAGGACGCAATAAGTTTTTATTATTGTAAAAAAATGTCAATACAAAAAATTACTTATAAGTTATAAGTTATTTTGAAGAGTTGTAAAAAATACTCAACAAAACAAGTTGGATTATTAGGCTCTTAAAAAAAATTGGCTCAAAACAATTAAGCCAATAAATTTTAAGTCTATTATTATTATTATTATTATTATTATTATTATTATTATTATTATTATTATTATTTGTAAAACTTAAATGAAAATAAAATAAAATGATGGGGTTAATCACAAATAAGTGATTCTTTAGAATTTTATACCAAAATAGGTTAAGCCACTTTTATAAGTAATGGTATGGAAATCCATCTCGACCCATTTGACAACTCTTCCATCTCATATTAACCACAAAGCTAATTAGTGAGAAGGCATGGACGAGGGAGAAAGAAAAAAGAAGGAAGGATGAAGTACAAGGACAAAGAAATGGAGAAAAACATTGATAGAGACTAAAACATAAAAAGATTTGCTCGTAAAGGGACCAAAATGACTAGTTTTTAGATGTAAGGGCTAAAAGTAAAAATTGTACAAATATGGACCAGAATGTACAAATACCGTAAATATAGTGACTAAAATGGAAAGAGTAACAAACATCAATGTTATGATGCATACATGTTATCCATCGTTAATAAATTATATTTCATATTTGTTAAATCAAAAGAAATATTGGTCCATTAGCATATAAGTTTTAATGATAACAAATTTATATATTTTTTAGAAAGAAAAAAAAATCAAATGATACTATAAGATAAATAAATGTATAGGATTGGTTATAGTAACATTTAATCTTTCACATAAACTACTTTATTTGAAAGGCAAATGTATTTATTATATATCACTTACAATATTCAATAACTAAATCATATTTTTCTATGATATTTTTTAATAGATCAAAAGGAATAAATTAAAAGTTTTTTGGTACTTGCACTTTAAAAAGGAACGAAAACATATTTTGTATTAGAAAAAGGAAAGTCAAATCCCTTAAAGCATGCAAAATATTTTAAAAAAATATTTCTAACTAACACACAACAATTCCTTCCTCTTGATACCAACAAAATGAATGATAAATAGTTTCCTTGATCAAATAAGAAGTGAATATTTGGTGAAAAATATTTAATATTGACAATTAATACATTAATAGACACCTATTCTTTAAAAGAAGAATAACAAAAAAAAAAGCAAGTTTGTGAGACATACTCAAGAATTTGTAATAATGAAGCATTTATATAAAGAAACTTGAAGACTCCAAAATAGGAAAGAATAATCAATTGTAAAAATTCATACTCATTTTTTTTTTTTTGTAAAAAAACCTTTGTACTTAAATTGGTTGTATCACATTTTGATAGTATGACGAAATTACAAGTGATTTTCCAACTTTAATTTTGTATTATTGCTTTGAACCCAAAGAAACTTTATTATAAAAGAATATTTGGTTGTTTAAGCATGTAGAAACTTTGTTGTTTAAAGAATACTTAGACAAATGCTTAAAGAGACAAGTAAAAAAAAAATTAGGTTGAGCCAAAAGTGAGTTGTGAAATAATACTTGTACCTTTGTAAAAATATAATAGAACTTGATCAGGTTGATCAAGAACCAAACGTAGTCTCAGTGGTTGAAACGAATCAGTATAAAAATACTATGTTCTTTTCTCTAGACTTTTCACCTGTATTTGTAAGGTCTTTGATATTTTTTTCACTATTTCAAAAAAGTGTTAAATTTTTTATTGACTCTATTTAACCCCTTTCTAGTGTTTTTTTTTTTTTATCTACAATACTTAAGGTTGGAATTCGAATCCTAAACTACTTTCATCAAGGAGTACAAATTCCTATTACTTATGTTAATCAATGTTGGTCTTTAATTAATTTAGCTCTAGCATGATTGACAAAATAAAAAATATTAAATAAGATATCAAATATTATTTTGAATTAAAATAACAATTTTTTAAGTGCATAATTTAGTTACTCACTTGTTGACGCTTGTTACTTATTCAGTCATTTGTGACTTTATATTAGTGTTATTTGATAATAAACTAAACCTTAGTTGAAATTATTGATTTTATTGGATTCATCTTATAAAAATAGAATACCTTTAATTATGGGATTACGTCTAACAATGATAGATTGTCCAAATGATACAAATCATATGGTTTTATTTTGTGATTAAATAAATTGTGACAATTCAATACTTACATTTTTAAACAACTAATGCAATAATTAGTTATTATTTTTTTAACATATAACTCTTGTATATCTCACATAATCTAGGAGTAAAAGTATCATGCTTAACATATACTCAAGTACTTAATCACTAGTTCCCACATTTATGAAAATAGGTATTGTTTGTGTAAGCTTAACATGTATATATTTCTAAACTCAAAAAATGTGTTGAATCTTGTGTGTATGACCATAATTTAGTAGAAATTAGGTTTTATTGTTGGACCTTCAAGTGAACATGTTAATCAACCGATACTACCATAGTATACCTTCGATAGTATTTTGGTTGACAATTGATGAGATGACACAAATCGTCAAAATCTAAAATTTTAGGAGCATAAATCATGAGAAAAATTATTTTTAGGCAAAATTCTTAAAACGCAAAGTTCAAGGAGCTCAAATTGCTTTTAAACTTCCTTCATAGCATATCATTAAATTTATCTACATCATACGTGTCATGTTAGCACTTTATTACTATTTTGACAAAAACTTGATAATAGGACACAAATTACCAAAATTTAAAAATTGAGGAGTGTGATTCATGAGAAAAAAAACTTGGGAGCAAAATTCATCAAAAAGTAAAACTTTAAAGATACAAAATGCAATTAAGCCTTATAATATTTAATATATCATTTAAAATATTTTTCTACTATATTTCTTAGAATGGATAGGAAATAAGATGTCCACTTGTACTTGTGGGTGATGGATTATAGGATTCATATCAAGGAATGTGTGTAAGGGCTCAAATTTGTAGATTGACCTATGAAGCATGCGGTCTGGATAGCTGCCAAGGTTAAATTTTAAAAATTGACATAATTATAAGAGAAATTAAGCTTAGTGAAGTCTATGAATTACGCAATTTTATTTTGTTAGTTTTACGAGAGATTTTAAAATATGAGTGACTTCAATATTTTTTAATAAGTAAGTATATGTAATAAGTTTTGAGTTTAGTATTTTTTTTTCTATTTCAAATATATTGCACTTTTACTACTTTAATAAGTTTTTTAAAAAAATTATTACGTAAAATATGTTTTAAATTAAATATACAAATTTTATATGTTAAAACTTTCATAATTTATTTTAGATTGCTTGATGTTTATATTTTTATATAATATTTTTTAATATATTTTTTCCTCGTATTTTATTGGCATAAAAGAGAAGAACTTATTATTATTATTAAACATGTAGATTTGTCTGTTTAATCGCGGTTTTGCAATCGAATACAATTTAGTAAAAAGACCATTTATTACATTCATTGAACTTATTCAACCTATTAAAAATGTGAGTTTCGTATAATAAACCTTAACCGTATACCCACCCTAATTAGGGTTGGGATAAGAATAGACTAATTTTTTTTTATTGTTACCTAAAATTACTTTTGTTTTTCAATTCTTTCAAGTGATTACTTGGAAATTTAAATTAAATATTAGATAGTGTAAAGATTTTTAACATTATGAAAGTATGAAACCAATCATGAATTATCGAAATACTTAAAAATTGTATAAGTGTAATTTAATGAATTAGAAGTGTCACGTAGTCAAAAAATGAAAACGGGAACAGAGCCAAAGGAAGGAGAGAACGCGAGGGATTGGACCTTGGTGAGATCAAGAAGATGGAAGGACTTTCGACCGGGAATGGATACTGTTCAAGAGGACAACGGATTGCCAAAGGATAGATGGAACACTAGGAGTGTGTGGGATCGGCAGTGGATACAGTTCAAACAAAAGAGTCCTGGATATGTTTCTTTCTTATTTTCAAATTTTCCAGAGGGCTTTGGAACTGAGGATATGTGGAAAGTTTTTACGAAATGCTGAGGGAAGGTAGCTGATGTGTACGTTCCAAAAAAGAGGGATAAAAGAGGATATCGATTTGGTTTTGTCAGATTCATGGATAATGTTGATCAGTGCTTGCTGGAAAACAGGTTAAGTCAAATTTGGATTGGTACCTACAAACTTCGTGTAAATGTTTCTTGGTATGCGAAAAACAAAGAGAGTGATGATTTAGCAAAAAATAAAAAGAGTGGAATTTTAGTTGGTGATGAATTTGATGATCATTCTCAGCCAACGGGTCAGGGGTGCCAACAAAAGCGGGTAACCAGTATTGTGGAAGGGAAATCATATTTGGATGTTGTTAGAGGACATACAAGGCAGCATGTAAGGAAGGTGTGGAAGCCCAAAGACAGTCATGCTAACAAGAGTGCTGATACATGGAATGGTATGGAATTTCAAGTCCTAGACACTAAAATGGCTTGGTTGAGAAAATGCTATATTGGTCGAGTGCGTCAGGTTGATGGGATATTCACACTTTAGGAAAAGATTATTGCTGAAGGAATCCTATCTATTAAGTTCACTCCAATGGGTGGTGATATGGTGTTAATTCAACCTGATAATGAGAAGAATTGCGAGGAGTTGCTAAAAGAGTTAGATGAGATATTTTCTCTATGGTTTGGCTCAATTCGCCCTTGGAGTCAAGAAGATGTTCCATGTGCATGCTATGTATGGGTTAGATGCTATGGAGTGCCACTTCATGCTTGGAATGAAACTTTTTTTTAGGTCGATTGATACGACATTTGGGAGGTTTGTGTGTATTAATAGTAGAAGAAAGAATAAGATAGATTGGATGTAGCATGGACGCTGATTCATACTACTTCAGAGGAGATTATTAATACTTGTTTGAAAATTAAGATTAATAATTCTTTATTTTCAATTAACGTTGTTGAAGATCCTTTCATTTTTCCTTGGAGAGTGTTACCTAATAGAAATATTTTAAATTCTCAGTCAGAGGGGTTGAGTGATTGTTCTTTGGACTACTCTAGTAATGATAGTGCTTGGGCTGATTTCTATCGAGATGGAAATGGGGAGAATGATATTTTTGGAATTCAAAATGAGATAGTAGAACTCAATCAGGTAGAGAATCATGGGGAGTTAATTACTCATAATCAAGATTTTGGTTTGGGAGGTAATTATATTTTAAATGAAGATAAATCTGTTTTGGATTTATTGGTTATAAATGCTGAGGCGAATATTCTCCAAGGAGATATATGCGGGACTAATTATGGTGATGGACAATCGGGCTTGGTGGAGATAGCTACAACATCAATTTAGCATGACAAGTGGAGTGGTGAGGTAGGAAGCAAAGTTGGTGCAATGGTTTCTTGTGATAATGTGTTGGCCCATATCCCTTGTATAGTTGATGCAGAGGGAGGCATGCATAATGGTGTGGAGCGTGATTCAATTGGGGCCCATATTCCTGGAGGGAAGGACGTGGTGAATGTTACTAATTTATTGGACCAAAATCTTGTTATGTGGAGCAGCGAGCATGAGTTATTAGATGACCGTTGTGGGAATGATGTGAACGGTGATAAGAGGAGAAGCGACCATGAGAATTTAGAAGGATTTGTGGTGGTCCGTGATACTTTGCTGGCCCATATTCCTTGTGGGGTTGATGACATAACAGGAGGTAAGCCCACTGGTATGGAGAGTAATTCATTTGGGGCCCATATTCTTGGTGGGAAGGACGTGGCGAATGATACCAATTCATTGGCCCAAAATCTTGAGGCTATTGGCAAGGAAAGTGTGAGGTCCATTATGTGTTGTGTTAACCCAAAGGAGGCCCAGAGGTCAGCATGTGCGAAGGTAGGGAGTTTGTCTCTTTCATTGGGCCATATGGTTGATGAAGGTAATGACGTGGGGCTTGATTCAAAAAACAAATGTATTCACCTAGGCCCGATTGGTAATGGAATAATTGGAAGGAGGAGTGATATTTTGGCTGAACCAGAAATTGGCCCTAATGTTAAAGAACCCCTGAATTGTGTTGATGCGATTGGCTCCAATTCATGTTGGGTTGAGCTCTCAGAAGATCATTTATGTGAGGTGCCAATTCAAGTGGTTGATTCAACGTCAAATATCAAATATTTTTGTTCAAAACCAGTGATCCACATTGCGGAGTCTAGAAGGAGGAAGGGTAGACCACGGAAGAAATTAAGTTCACAAGTAAGTGCTTCTAGCCCTGTCAATGACTTACAACATGTTGATAGGTTGCTAAATATGGGCACTGAGAGTATAGCTAATCGTGTTTGGGAGATTGGAAAACAGTTGGGGATAGAAGGGGTGAGCTCAGATTCTGATATCCTTCAAAAATTGCAAAATATGGAAAGTAGGGATCAAGTGGCTGCTGGAAGAGGTAAGATGTAAGATGTTGGGTTGTTGAAGTTTTCCTGCTAGGGTGTTGAATTAATATGAATGATAGTTGCTTCTTTAAATACTAGGGGCATAGGGGGAAGGGTGAAAAAGTTGGAGGTGAGGAAGTTGTTATGCTCGGAGGGGGTTGATGTCTTTTTCTTACAAGAAACGAAAAAGGAATTAATTGATGACATGTTCTATGCTTCTTTAACTGGTGGAGTGGATTATGATTAGGTTTCTAAACCTGATGTTGGGTTATTTGGAGGGTTGTTATCTCTTTGGCGAAAGGACAAATTTATAATGACTATTGAGTCTTTTTCTGGGGATCATTTTATTGGTGTGAAAGGGTTGTCGGGGGAAAATAATCTTGAGTGTTCTTTTGTAAACATCTATGCTCCTTGCGATCTGCAAAGGAAAAAAAGAGTTGTGGCGGTGTCTAGTGGAGGTGATGAGGTGTCGTTGGGGTGATTTATGGTGTGTAGAGGTGATTTTAATGCTGTAAGGGTTGAGGGGGAGAGGAGAGGGGTGAGTTCCTACTGGAGAGAAGATGATATGAAGTGCTCTGATGAATTTATTATTGAGTCTGAGTTGGTAGATTTACCGTTAGTAGGGAGAAAATATACATGGTACAAAATAAATGGAAAGTGTATGAGCAGATTAGACAGATTTTTAGTTTCAAATGCTTGGTTGTCTCATTGGCCACATACAACACAATGGGGTCTTAGTAGAGGTGTGTCAGATCATTGTGCTATTTTGTTGAAAAATGAAGATATCAATTGGGGTCCAAAGCCTTTTAGAGTTCTTGATTGCTGGAGGGGTGATGCGAGGTACGCCATATTTGTGAGGTCCCAATGGAAGGAATTAGATGTGGAGGGGAGAGCTGCATTTGTACTAAAGGAGAAACTCAAGCTCTTAAAATGTAGATTGCGTTGGTGGAATCAAGAGACATTTGGTTGTTTAGACAGGAAAATAAATGAGGCTCGGAATATTGTTAACATGCTGGATCTTAAGAGTGAAGATTCTAATCTACAAGAAGTTGAAGTTGTGCAAAGAAAGGAGTGGAGAGCTCAGTTGTGTGCATCATTGACTCTTAAGGATAATCTGTTGTTTCAAAAGTCTCGTCTTAATTGGTTGCAAGCAGGAGATGCTAACTCAAAATTTTTCCATGCCTGTATCAATCATAGAAGGTTAAAAAATGAGATTCGAATCTTGAAGGTGGCCATTGAAAGGTATAATGAGCCTTCGACAATAAAAGAGGCAGTCAAGGGCTTTTTTGAAGGTCACTTCTGTGAGTGTTTGCATGCTAGACCTCGACTTCAAGGTATTGACTTTAAAACAATGTTAGAAGAAGATGTTGCAACCTTAATCTTGCCACTTTCTAATGAAGAAGTTAAGAATGCAGTGTCGGATTATGAGGGATCCAAAAGTCCAGGACCTGATGGATTTAATTTCACTTTTATTAAGGATTTTTGGGATGATATTAAAGCTGATTTTTTTTGGCTTTTTTACATGAGTTTCATGCTAATGGAAAATTAGTTAAAGGCTCCAACAACTCTTTTGTGGTTCTTGTGCCTAAAACTGATAATCCTCAAAAAGTGGAGGAATACCGACCTATTTCCTTAATTGGATGTATGTATAAGGTGTTGGCGAAAGTACTGGCAAATAGAATGAAGAAAGTCATTGGGAAAGTTATTTATGAGAGTCAATCATCATTTTTCAAAGGACGGCTAATTCTTGATAGCGTCTTGATTGCCAATGAAATTCTAGAAGAGGCAAAAAGAAAGAAAAAACAATGCTTGTTATTTAAGGTTGATTTTGAGAAGGCTTATGATTCTGTCAATTGGGAGTATATTTTTTTTGTTATGGAAAAAATGAGGTTTCCAATTTCATGGAGGAGGTGGATAGCAGAGTGTTTAGCCACTGCTAGAGTGTCTGTTCTTGTGAATGGAAGTCCATCTAGTGAATTTGGAGTTGGTAGAGGGTTGAGACAAGGAGACCCACTAGCTCTTTTTCTTTATTTGATTACTGTAGAAGGGTTGTCTTCTTTGATGTCTAAAGCAGTGCAGGAATATGTGTTTACAGGCTATATGGTTGGTGGGGATGTAGTGCCAGTATCACATCTACAGTATGCTGATGATACCATCCTAGTGGGCGATGCTACTCTGAGTAATGGTTGGGCTATTAAAGTTATTCTACAACTGTTTGAGTTAGTAGCTGGTCTCAAGGTTAATTTCTTCAAAAGTCAGCTCTTGGGTGTTAACGTTGACCAGGTTTGGGTGCAGTCTTTGGCTCAGTTTCTAAATTGCAAAGTTGGGTCTTTTCCGTGCTCTTACCTAGGATTACCACTTGGTGTTAATCCCGCTCGCTTGACGACCTGGCAGCCCGTGGTGCGGAAGGTGGAAAAAAGTTATCTAAATGGAAGAGCAAATTATTGTCCTTCGGTGGTAGGCTTGTCCTCTTGAAATCCGTGCTCCACTCCATCTAGATCTATTTTCTTTCCTCATTTAAGGCTCCCAAAGGAATCATTTCACATCTTGAATCTCTGTTCTCAAATTTTCTTTAGGGAGGGGATGATGAACATAGGAAATTAGTTTGAGTCTCTTGGTCTGATGTGTGTCGAGAAAAACAATATGGGGGACTAGGTTTGAGAGATTTGAGAGCTTTCCATTTTGCTCTATTAGGGAAGTGGAGGTGGCGTCTATTAGTTGAGAGAGATAGGTTGTGGAATAAAGTGTTAACATCTTTATATGGAGTGCCATCCTTGACTTCGGAAGGTAGAAGGGGTAGTGTGTCCAGGTGGTGGTTAGATCTGTGGAGTATTGATGTGTGTGATGGTATCTCTTGGGATTGGTTTTCTATGATGTGTGTAAGAGTTTTGGGTAATGGGCGAAACACTTCTTTTTGGAAGGATTCTTGGTGTACTACAACTCCTTTTTGTGTTCGATATGGTAGGCTCTTTTCTATTACTATCAACTCGGAGGCAACCATGGAGGACATGTGCTTTGGCATAGGGGGTGGTGTTGAGTGGAATTGGAGGTGGAGAAAACCTTTATTTTAGTGGGAATTGGAACAATTGGATCTATTAGTTTCTAATCTTCGTGGTTTTCAGGTTCAAGAGTATACTCATGATTCTTGGAGATGGAAAGATGATTTAGATGGCAAGTATTCTGTCAAGTCAGCTTATCATGTTATTGTCAATGATTCTCTTTTTGCTGAAATACCATTACACAAGTTTATTTGGTGTCATTTGGTGCCCTATAAGGTCTCTTGTTTTGTTTGGAGGGTATTGTTAGATAGATTCCCCTCAAAATTTAATCTTATTAAGCGACATGTTCTTATTTATTCGGATAGTTCCTATGTATGGTGTCAATATAGGATGGAGACTTCTTCTCACCTATTCTTTGAGTGCTCTTTTGCATATCATGTTTGGATGCTTTCCTTGGAATGGTGTGGCTTCACTTCTGTGATGTCCAATAACTTCATTGCTCATTTTGATCAATTTCTTAGGTTGCCTCTCTATCCTTCCAAAATGAGGTATAGATGGGCTATGATATGGTTGACTGTAATCTGGAGTATCTGGCTAACAAGAAATGCTCTTATTTTTTTTTCTGACAAGGTGCTATCTACTTTAGATGTGCTTGAAATGGTAAAACTGCACACTTGGAAATGGTTAAAAGCGAGAGATAATTCTTTTTCACACTCATTTTCTTCTTGGGCTGAGTCACCTTTCGTATGCCTTAATTTTTATTAAGTGATTTTGTTGGTGATTATTGTTATCTGGGTGTGCGATTCTGACTTAGTTGAGGCAATGCTTTTGACAATGGTGATTGGTTTCACTTTGTAGTTGATAGTTTTTTTTGGATTGCTAGTTTGGTTGTTCCACCTATTGGTATAAGATTTTTTATTGTATGATGTTTGCAAATTGATTTTAAAAGGTATGTAGTTATTGTGTTGTTTTCTTTAAACACCTATTGATGTCAGAGGTCCACTACTTACTTTGGTTATGTTGTGCATATGGGTTGGAGTACCCCCTTGTATTCCTCTTATTTAATTCAATTTTGCTTAGTAAAAAAAAATGAATTAGAAGTGTTAAGATTTACATGAATAAGTATTGAAATTAAACTTTTGATTACATGTGTGATGTGATTGTTGGTGAAAAGCTGGAAAGAAAGCCAAAACAAAGAGACACAAACTAAACCAGAATAGTAAGTAACTACAATCAAGTTGAGAACAACATGTTATAGTTCATGACAAAATTTCCCCCACTTCTTATTTCTACTTTAGTTTAAATGGTGAAAGTTAATTACAACCTGGTTTGTTAATCGTTGCAAAATTAATTATCATATTTTTCAATGCAAAACATACACATAATAGATTGTAGCAAGGACGCAACAAGCCTATAAATTAAATAATTAATAGTCAACCCTCAAAATTGATGGTTGAAGTAAAAAAAAAAAAAATCCTTTCCTCATACTTCCACCAAGTCAAACGAAAAGTAGCTTATAGTTCTCAGCACAAGAATAAAAAAAATAAAATTATAAAAAAAGAATAGAAAATTTCCTATAAGGTGAATAAAATTGTATCCAAACATATTCATGTTTCTACAACAAACTTGTTGTAATTAGATACAAATAAACTGAATATGTGGATAATACTTGAATACGATTTTGATGATTAAATGCTCCATTTGATTGGATATGTGTACAAGGTACGAGTAAAATTTGATTTATTAAATTAAATATGAAGATGAAAATGAGTATACATTTATCTGCTAAGTATTCATACCTATTCTCACTTTAAATTTCTATAAATTTAATTTAATTTTTTTAATTTACTTGAGAGTTATGTAATTCTTATTCTATTTTAAATTTATGTCAAGTAAAACTTAAATAATGTAATTTTGTAATTATTATTCTATGTTAAAATTTTAATTTATATATATATATATATAATTAATTTTTAAACAAATACAAATATATACCTAATGAAGATAAAGATGAGATACAACTTTTATATCATTAAATAAAATCATGATAGATATGACGTGCAAACTCAAAATTAGAGACAAATATTAAATTTTACACCGACCACATTTTCATCTCTATGTCTAAGCTTCACATGCATAGACAACTTTAGCACAACCAACACAAACAACTCGGTATCTAAAGGAATATGCAAAAAATTGCTTGATCAAGTAAAATAAATAGTATTACAAGAAGAAGGACACTCAACTTCAACCACTAATATTTTTAAATAATGTGTGTTAATAATATTCAAAAAAATGTTAGAATAATATTTTTGAAACAACTAAAAATTCTTTATAGACATAGAAAATATTAAAGTTATCTTGCTAAAATGAGTTAAAACTTTTTTGTATTTGGAAGGGAACCTCCCAAACCATGGATACCCTTCTGTTGTTGAAGGAGAGCTTTGGTGGAGTCCTCCTCTTCTTCTTCCTTTTCCAATGAATAAAATTAGATTTTTTTTTTTAATGTAATCTCATAGCATCTCAAGAAGCAATTAAGCCTTTTTGTTTTTAACGAGGAAACTATATATTAGGAAGGGTTGTTACAAAACGGTTCCTCCATGATCCTAAAATGAAGCACGTAACTGAGATTGTCCCAAGAAACAAAAAAAAAAAAAGAGTTGACGTGGCCATTCATTCCTTAACCAAGCACAGAGGAAGAAAGAAAGGAGCGAAACGAGTTCTGAAGAAACCCAAAGCCAAAGTGTGTCTCTCTCTAAACCATGTCCATGGCTCTCGTGACTCGAAGCCGGACCACGTGGCGCCTCCCTCACCGGATAGTTTCGGCGTCGCTCCACAGCGCTTCCTCCGGCCACGGCACCGCTCCCACTTCCTACTGTGCGCCGCCGCCGCCGCCGGCGTATTCATCCCCCGCGGGCATCTCGAAGCCGGCGGAGTTCGTGATCTCGAAGGTGGACGCCCTCATGAACTGGGCCCGCAGGGGGTCCATCTGGCCCATGACGTTTGGGCTGGCCTGCTGCGCCGTGGAGATGATGCACACGGGCGCTGCCCGCTACGATCTGGACCGCTTTGGAATCATCTTCAGGCCCAGCCCACGCCAGTCCGATTGCATGATCGTTGCTGGCACTCTCACCAACAAGATGGCCCCTGCTCTTCGCAAGTTTGTTCCTCCTTTCTCTCCATGCTTCCCACTAGCAATTATTATTTTTTACTCGTCATTATTTTTTTATTTCTGATAAAATTTACTTTTTTTTTTTTTATTATGTCAACTAATTAAAAGTCTCTTCAATTAATGGATGATAGTGCCTCAATATTACTACCTCCATTGTTATACTTCATTCACTACATTTTATGATAATTAAATGATTTCGTAACATTATATTAAAAAGTATAATATTATTGATTTTAAAATATTTTTCAAATTTTTAAATCATAATTATTGTAAAACTTATAAAAAAATAAATATATAATTAATCAAGACCGATGATAGTTATATTTAATGAAAATATTTAAAAATTAAAAAACAATTTTTTCAACTAATAACCATGACTTATAGATGTGGTAACACATTCACTTTCCATTGAGTAGATAGATAACTTGCTTATTGACTCTTAATAAATCAATGTATAAAAAGAAATTATCAGTTAATACATTTAAAAATAGATCTATCTTTCTTAAAATTAAGTGAAAAAATAATAATAAAAATCTTGTTTGTATTTCATATGTGAGAATAGAAATAGTATAAAAGAAAATATGGAGTTTGATTTCATAGATAAAAGAAAATCTTATATATTGGTGCATGTAGGGTTTATGATCAAATGCCTGAACCAAGGTGGGTGATCTCAATGGGAAGTTGTGCCAATGGAGGTGGATACTATCACTATTCTTATGCTGTTGTTAGAGGATGTGACAGGATTGTTCCTGTTGACATATATATTCCAGGGTGTCCTCCAACTGCTGAGGCTTTACTCTATGGCCTCCTCCAGCTGCAGAAGAAGATCAATAGGCGCAAAGACTTCCTCATGTGGTGGACCAAGTGAAGTCCATCAAATTTATTTCTTGCATGGCTAATTAAGCTATATATGTGTGTTATAATAAGCAGCATTTGGTAATAATAATAATATATTTTTTTTTGGAAATTTTCTGAATTTCTGGTGTATGTATGCTGATGTATAAACCTATGGAATAAATGAGACATTTCATGTTTAACTCATAAATTAACTGTTTTCATTTTGAACAATTTTCTACTTACTTATCACCTTATACATGACCACTGACACATTGAATGAATGAATTTTCTATGGAATGAATATTTTTGGTGATATATATGGGGACTGGGAAGTATATATATATATATATATATATATATATATATATAT